GACGGCTAGGGCTTCCTTTGTAGTCCATAATGTACTGTAGCACCTGCCACATGCGTCGAGCGTCGGAGCCGGTATAATAGGATTCCACCTTGTTCCGATATTGTCCTTTTGCCTGATTGATGGTGTAGTGTATTAAAATTATGTCTTTGTTAAATGTTTTTCATGAAGAAATGGAAGGTTGATTATTGCTATCGAGAGGGAAGGTTTTAGCGTGACGTCACATATGACAGACAGGAAGTGGGTTGTAAGATACGGGGATTGAACAGTAGAGGGAGCCATTCAACTCTTGGAAGGCTATATAAAGGGGAGACTGGTGATTGGCCAGAGGAGGGAGTTTCATTGTTTATAAATAAGGGGGTTAGGGGAGGAAGACGTCAGAGCAGCCATTAGAATTGGAGGACACTGCTCTCCAGACCTCGCGAGTCTGTCACCCATGCTGAAGCTTGTGATCTGAATAAACCTTATGATCAACGTGCAGTATGAGCAGACTCCTTTTGTTCATCAGCAATAATTGCCACCATTCATCCGATACGACAATGGCTCTGCTGAGGTTGTAGCGGGACTTCTTGTACGCGTTCGTGTCCTCAGCCGTAGCTTCGGGGTTGGCTGCGATAGCCCTGTGACCTGTAGCCCTGTGTTAATCCAGGGCTTTTGATGTGGGAAGCAGCGAACCTTCACTGTGGGGACGACGTCAATGATGCATATCCTGATAAAACCGGTGACAGAGGTGGTTAGCTCGTCGATGCTATCAGCGGAGTCCCGGAACATATTCCAGTCAGCGCTAACAAAGCAGTCCTGCAGCATAGCCTCGCTTCGGTAGACCATTTGTCTACGGAGCGCGTCACGGGTACTTCCTGTTTGAGCTTTTGTTTGTAAACAGGAAGCAGAAGGGTTCCAAAAGCGTCCTTTGGCTGTACCCATAGCAGCACCCTTTTTGGTTCCAGGTAGAACCCTTTTTGGTTCCAGGTATAACCCTTTTGAGTTCCAGGTATAACCCTTTCCATGTAGAACCCTCTGTGGAAAGGGTTCTACATGGAACCCATAGAGAGTCAAGATCTGATTTGCCAACAGGGGGACAAGGGAGGGCCTTGTATGCTTGCTTGTGGCAGCAAGACAAGCAGCCTCCGGGTGCATGGTTTCCTGCTTGTCTATAGCCTCGTACAGTTCGTCAAGTGCCAGCTTGTTGTTGTTGTTGTTGTTGTTGTTGTTGTTGTTGTTGTTGTTGTTGTCCTGGGGTGGAATATATACAGCAGTCAAGATAACAGATGAAAACTCTCTCAGTAGGTAGAAGGGTCGGCATTTGACCATCAAGTATTCCGAGACGGGTGAACAAAAAGGTTGAGATTTCCACTGCACACCATTTGTTGTTGATGAAGAGACATAAGGGAGAGCTGGGACGAAAGTAACACGGGGCAAAAGTAACACGCCCGTTTTCCCAGATAACACAGAAGCTAGAATGATGCAGTGAAGTCAGCACGTTCCTAATGTGGAGGATGAGCTCCCTGCAAAAAAACATGCCAGTCTGACCATGTTTCGCCGAGTTATCAACAAAAAGTGTTTTTGAGCGTTATAAGTAAAAAAAACGGACCCGGAAGTGTTTTTCGGTTGTAGAGTTTTGTTTCGCTGTTTAAGGTTCCAAACATATATAATTTTCTTAACCCATCTATAAAATAACTGAATGTTTGAAAATTATATATGACATCATTAGAATTATGCCTTAATCAATTGGCTTGATGGATGAGCTTCTCACATAAGCTTTTATCGACAGGTTAGTGGTTAAAAATCTTTATGATTCTGGGGGTCAATTACATTATCTCAAGCCATGGAAATGTGATAAGCATGATGAGTTTTCAGTTTGTGAAGAGAATAAAGACATTTATTCTACAAGACACGAGAACCGCGCATGACAAGGACAGCGTGAGCGAACCTGATCGGTAGGGCTAAGCATAACTAGTCATTGAAAATTGTGAAAAATTCCCATTAAAGTGAGATGAGAAAATTATGGTTAATATAACTATTATGTGATCCATTTTAGTCCGATTAATATTGTAAGGCAAAATATTGTGGTTGCGCAACATTGCGATGTTGACGCATGGTTCATTTTCATAAATGTCGAACCGATAGCATTAATTATTCAAATCGAAATACACATGAAATTATGTCTGATAGTACATTTGCTGAAAGTACTGAGCATTACAAACCAGAAACATGGAGATAAGACAGATATTGCCTGAAGATTGGCTCGGAGGTACACAAAGCGCCCAGGGCAGATGAGTTTAAGTTGAAGCCGGAATTGAGGTTAATAACTGCCGATCTGATGTTCAAAAGTTTTTGTCGATCATAGGAAATGAAAGCAGTTACATTTAGTGCAAAAAAAGTAAAGATAAACGCCAAAATAATCACAAAATGGCAAAGTTGGGTCAGAGCAAGACGGCAGCCATACAGCATCATCTTTAGTATGTGTGTGCGTATCTATGCGCGCACTCCAACAGAGATCACCCAGTCCTCTGGATCAGCAGGGGCTCTTATGCAGGGTTCTATGTTGTTTTTGTTGAAGCGTGCATAAAAGGCATTGAGTTCATCTCGTAGAGAGATGTCATTGGGCAGATGATGGCTTATATTTGTCCTGTTTCACAACCTGTACAAGTGTGAAATGGAAATGTGTTTTTTGCATATCCCAACTCCCCCTGAGACATCCTCGGAGAGTGGGGTCACAGCCAGGGATCAGCCATTTTTGACGGAAACCCTGGAGCAATTAGGATTACGTGCCTTGCTCAAGGGCAGATCGACAGATTTTTTCACCTTGTCTGCTCTGGGAATCAAACTAGCAACCTTTCAGTTACTGGCCCCACACTCAAATCACTAGGCTACCTGCCACTAGGCTACTCTAACCACTAGGCTACCTGCCGCTAGGCTACTCTAACCACTAGGCTACCTGCCGCTAGGCTACTCTAACCACTAGGCTACCTGCCACTAGGCTACTCTAACCACTAGGCTACCTGCCACTAGGCTACTCTAACCACTAGGCTACCTGCCACTAGGCTACTCTAACCACTAGGCTACCTGCCGCTATAGGCTACTCTAACCACTAGGCTACCTGCCGTTAGGCTACTCTAACCACTAGGCTACCTGCCACTAGGCTACTCTAACCACTAGGCTTCCTGCCGCTATAGGCTACTCTAACCACTAGGCTACCTGCCGCTATAGGCTACTCTAACCACTAGGCTACCTGCCGCTAGGCTACTCTAACCACTAGGCTATCTGCCGCTATAGGCTACTCTAAGCACTAGGCTACCTGCCGCTATAGGCTACTCTAACCACTAGGCTACCTGCCACTAGGCTACTCTAACCACTAGGCTATCTGCCGCTATAGGCTACTCTAAGCACTAGGCTACCTGCCGCTATAGGCTACTCTAACCACTAGGCTACCTGCCGCTAGGCTACTCTAACCACTAGGCTATCTGCCGCTATAGGCTACTCTAAGCACTAGGCTACCTGCCGCTATAGGCTACTCTAACCACTAGGCTATCTGCCGCTATAGGCTACTCCAACCACTAGGCTATCTGCCGCTATAGGCTACTCTAAGCACTAGGCTACCTGCCGTTAGGCTACTCTAACCACTAGGCTACCTGCCGCTATAGGCTACTCTAACCACTAGGCTATCTGCCGCTATAGGCTACTCCAACCACTAGGCTATCTGCCGCTATAGGCTACTCTAAGCACTAGGCTACCTGCCGTTAGGCTACTCTAACCACTAGGCTACCTGCTGCTATAGGCTACTCTAACCCCTAGGCTACCTGCCGCTAGGCTACTCTAACCACTAGGCTACCTGCCGTTAGGCTACTCTAACCACTAGGCTACCTGCCACTATAGGCTACTCTAAACACTAGGCTACCTGCTGCTATAGGCTACTCTAACCCCTAGGCTACCTGCCGCTAGGCTACTCTAACCACTAGGCTATCTGTCGCTAGGCTACTCTAAGCACTAGGCTACCTGCTGCTATAGGCTACTCTAACCACTAGGCTACCTGCCGCTATAGGCTACTCTAACCACTAGGCTACCTGCCGCTATAGGCTACTCTAACTACTAGGCTACCTACCGCTATAGGCTACTCTAACCACTAGGCTACCTGCTGCTATAGGCTACTCTAACCCCTAGGCTACCTGCCGCTAGGCTACTCTAACCACTAGGCTATCTGCCGCTAGGCTACTCTAAGCACTAGGCTACCTGCCGCTATAGGCTACTCTAACCACTAGGCTACCTGCCGCTATAGGCTACTCTAACCACTAGGCTACCTGCCGCTAGGCTACTCTACCCACTAGGCTACCTGCCGCTAGGCTACTCTAACCACTAGGCTACCTGCCGCTAGGCTACTCTAACCACTAGGCTACCTGCCGTTAGGCTACTCTAACCACTAGGCTACCTGCCGCTAGGCTACTCTAAGCACTAGGCTACCTGTGTGCGCGTATGTGTGTGTGTGTGCCACCTCATGAGATCCAGAGGCAGAGAGGAGGAGAGGAGAGACGAGTTTCTGGGGTTCAGAGGAGGAGAGGAGAGACGAGTTTCTGGGGTTCAGAGGAGGAGAGGAGGAGAGGAGAGACGAGTCTCTGGGGTTCAGAGAGGAGGAGAGGAGAGGAGAGACGAGTTTCTGGGGTTCAGAGGAGGAGAGGAGGAGAGGAGAGACGAGTCTCTGGGGTTCAGAGAGGAGGAAAGAGTGTGTGCGTGTGCGTGTGTTTGTGGTGTTCTGTCTGTCTGATCCTTTGTGTGTGTTTTTGTGTTCCAGTGGAGCACGATAAGGAGTTCCTCCCGGTCCGGCGGCACCACAGAGAGCCTGTGTGCGCGTATGTGTGTGTATGTGTGCCACCTCATGAGATCCAGAGGCAGAGAGGAGGAGAGGAGAGACAAGTTTCTGGGGTTCAGAGGAGGAGAGGAGAGACGAGTTTCTGGGGTTCAGAGGAGGAGAGGAGGAGAGGAGAGACGAGTCTCTGGGGTTTAGACAGGAGGAGAGGAGAGACGAATCTCTGGGGTTCAGAGAGGAGGAGAAGAGAGACGAGTCTCTGGGGTTCAGAGAGGAGGAGAGGAGAGACGAGGCTCTTGGGTTCAGAGAGGAGGAGAGGAGAGACGAGTCTCTGGGGTTCAGAGAGGAGGAAAGAGTGTGTGTGTGTGCGTGTGTTTGTGTTGTTCTGTCTGTCTGATCCTTTGTGTGTGTTTTTGTGTTCCAGTGGAGCACGATAAGGAGTTCCTCCCGGTCCGGCGGCACCACAGAGAGTTTCGTTTCGACCTATCACGTATCCCCGATGGGGAAGCAGTCACTGCTGCAGAGTTTCGCATCTATAAGGACTTCATCCACGAGCGCTTTGACAATGAGACCTTCCGCATCAGTGTCTACCAGGTGCTGGAGGAACACAACGACAGGTGAGGGAGTGTGTGTGTTTGTTTGTGTGTGTCAGTATGTTGAAGTGTGCTCCTCTGTTATGTCACACTTCTATTCTCCCACCATTGTTTTCAAAGATCAGTGAGTATATCCAGTCTTTACCAAAGCAATGTGGAAGGTGTGTGTAACCTATGCTGTGTAAAGGGCCGGGTCTCTGACCCCTCCTAAAGGCTTCTGCTGCCTGCACATCACCAGGGGCAACAACACATTTATCCCTCTGCCAGGGAAGTGTGTGTGTGTGTGTTTGTGTGTGTGTGTGAACCAGAGCACTATGACACACTATCCAACCAGTCAGTAGACCAACACTGGCCTGGGAGGAATGATGGATACTTGAAGAAGAAGGGATAAAATATCAGAAAGGAAAAGAGGAGAAAAATATAAAAACATTCCACTTTAGAACAATGATTTAGTTGGACGAGGATTCTTTCTCTCTCTTTCTTTCTCTCTCTCTCTTTCTTTCTCTCTCTCTCTTTCTCTATCCTTCTTTCTCTCTCTCTCTCTCTCTCTCTCTGGCTCTCTCTCTGTTTCACTCCCTTAATTCCAGTGTGTGATGGACATTGTGTACAGTATCCTTCCTTCCTTCCTTCCTTCCTTCCTTCCTTCCTTCCTTCCTTCCTTCCTTCCTTCCTTCCTTCCTTCCTTCCTTCCTTCCTTCCTTCCTTCCTTCCTTCCTTCCTTCCTTCCTTCCTTCCTTCCCTCCCTCCCTCCCTCCCTCCCTCCCTCCCGCTCTTTCTCTTTCTCCATTGCCCTGATCTCGCTCCCTCACTTGTTCTACTCCTCAGCTCCACACTTTTTGCACATATTTTCGAAGTATGCAGGCTTGTGTGTGTGTGTGTTTGTCTGTATCGGTTTGTATCTGTGTGTGTGTGTGTCTGTGTTTCTTTGCGTATGTATTTATGTCTGGGTCCAATGTGGGTCTGGCTGTGTATGTGTGTTTGTTTGTCTCTGTGTTTGTGTGAATGTTTACTCATGCATGCACGTGTGTGTGTATCTCCTCCAGGGAGTCAGACCTGTTTCTGTTGGACTCGCGGGTCATCTGGGCAGCTGAGGAGGGCTGGCTGGTGATTGATGTGACATTGACCAGTAACCACTGGGTTCTGAATCCTGGACGCAACCTGGGCCTGCAGCTGGCTCTGGAGAGCACCGCCGGTAAGCAGAGGGCCTTTGAACCAGGTCCAGCACCCAGAGGGAGCTCTCTAAACCAGAACTTCTATATGAGGGGTCAAACCCAATAAGAACCAGGACCCATAACCATGTAGCTTATCAGAGTATGAGTACTGATCTAGGACCAGCTCACCCCTTTCCATATAATCTTTTTAATTATGAGACTCTTTATGTATATGGGCCCTGGCCTGGATTCATGTAAGAACAGGAGACAGCATGAGCAGTATGACCTCAGTGCATAGCAATGGCACATTCTCTACCATCACACAGCACAGAGAGAACACACTGATAGAGGGAAAATACAGTCCCTCATTATTTAACACAATCCACTATACCCTCATCATCACTATCACCCATGCAGAAGAGAATACAACTAACAACATGTAGTGCAGATGTATTTCTATTGAGTCAAGTTTCTCTTTAGAGCGGAAGATAAATTGTTATCAGGATGGCAGGATGTTAGTCATTTAAAATCAATGACAACAACAGCAGTATCAACAGTAGTACTGTATGACAGTGTTTTTGAGGAGACTGTTACCTCAGTGATGATAGAAGGATGATCCATGTTTCTTTCATGTTAGGGACAGTGTGTGCGTGTGTGTGTGTGTGTATGTTGGGAGGGGTATGGACGGGCATGTGCTAGCATGCGCGAGACGTCATGTCACCGTGGGCTGCGGGCAACCTGAGTTTACCTCCACACTATGATCACAGGCACATTCCTCTGAGTGAACATCACACACACATTGGAAGTCTCTCTTTCTCACACACACACAAATGCGCAGGTTGACGTTTATTGGGAGTCCTTGAGGCAGAACTTAGCAATTTCCGCTAGATAGACCAGCAAAAATTGTCTATATTGTAAAAATTCATGAAAACAAAAATTTGCTTTTGGTCTTAATTTAAGATTAGGGTTTGGCATTAGGGTTAGCAGTGTGATTAAGTTTAGGGTTAAGGTTAGGGTTAGGTTTAAGATCAGATTTTATGACTTTGTGGCTGTGCCAGCAAGTGACCGCTCTGCAGAGCTGCCGTCAGAACAATCTTCATGATGAAAACACAAACCCTAAACACTGTCAGATCCATTGGGAGAGAGTGTTTCTCTTTGATGTCTGTTACTGCTTTGGTGTTTGCCATTTCCCAGGTCCAAACACACACAGAGAGAGAGAGAGCGAGAGAGAGAGAGAGACTCATATTTGGGAAAACATCAATTTTCATCATTACACAGACCAAATAAATGGTTCTCATTAGAGACTGAGTGGACCACACACACTTTAGATACACACACTCACAGAGACACGTCTCTAACACGCTGTCCTCTGTGTCTCCCCCTGCAGGTGAGAGTGTGAACCCGCGGATGGCAGGGCTGATCGGCCGCAGTGGTCCTCAGAATAAACAGCCCTTCATGGTGGCTTTCTTCAAAGCTACTGAGGTGCACCTGCGCAGCATCCGCTCAGCACCAGGGGGCACCAAACAACGCAACCCCAATCGCTCCAAAGGGGCCAACAAGGGCCAGGAGGCACTCCGAGTGACCAACATCGCAGGTAAGGACTGGGGGATGAGGGGAGAGGGAAGCTTAGAGAAAGTGCCTTACAGCAGTATGTGTATTTGTGGAAGGCCTTTTAAATGGCACAGTGATATGTTGGTGTAGTGATGGCTAGCTCTGGTGTGGGTTCGAGGTGAAATGAGAGGCAGATGGAGGCCAGGGCTATTACTGTCTACTACAGCCTCCTTACAATAATTATCCACATACACTACCGTTCATAAGTTTGGGGTCACTTAGAAATGTCCTTGTTTTCGAAAGAAATTGATTTTTGTTGTCCATTAAAATAACATAAAATTGATCAGAAATACAGTGTAGACGTTGTTAATGTTGTAAATGGCTATTGTAGCTGGAAACAGCTGATTTTTAATGGAATATTTACATAGTCGTGCAGAGGCCCATTATCAGCCACCATCAGTCCTGTGTTCCAATGGCACGTTGTGTTTGCTAATCCAAGTTTATCATTTTAAAGGGATAATTGATAATTAGAAAACCCTTTTGCAATTATGTTAGCACAGCTGAAAACTGTTGTGCTGATTAAAGAAACAATAAAACTGGCCTTCTTGAGACTAGTTGAGTATCTGGAGCATCAGCAATTGTGGGTTCGATTACAGGCTCAAAATGGCCAGAAACAAATAACTTTCTTCTGAAACTCGTCAGTCTATTCTTGTTCTGAGAAATGAAGGCTATTCCATGTGAGAAATTGCCAAGAAACTGAAGATCTCGTACAATGCTGTGTACTACTCCCTTCAAAGAACAGCGCAAACTGGCTCTAACCAGAATAGAAAGAGGAGTGGGAGGCCTCCGGTGCACAACTGAGCAAGAGGACAAATACATTAGAGTGTCTAGTTTGAGAAACAGACGCCTCACAGGTCCTCAACTGGCAGCTTCATTAAATAGTACCCGCAAAACACCAGTCTCAACGTCAACAGTGAAGAGGCGACTCCGGGATGCCTCTAATGTATTTGTCCTCTTGCTCAGTTGTGCACCGGGGCCCCCACTCCTCTTTGTATTCTGGTTAGAGCCAGTTTGCGCTATTCTGTGAAGGGAGTAGTACACAGCGTTGTACGAGATCTTCAGTTTCTTGGCAATTTCTCGCATAGAATAGCCTTCATTTCTCAGAACAAGAATATACTGTTTTATTGCTTCTTTAATCAGCACAACAGTTTTCAGCTGTGCTAACATAATTGCAAAAGGGTTTTTTAATGATCAATTAGCCTTTTAAAATGATGAACTTGGATTAGCAAACACAACGTGCCATTGGAACACAGGACTGATGGTTGCTGATAATGGGCCTCTGTACGCCTATGTAGATATTCCATAAAAAATCAGCCGTTTCCAGCTACAATAGCCATTTACAACATTAACAATGTCTACACTGTATTTATGATCAATTTCATGTTATTTTAATGGACAAAAAAATTGCTTTTCTTTCAAAAACAAGGACATTTCTAAGTGATCGCAAACTTTTGAATGGTAGTGCATCTCCAAGGGTCAACATGCACGCACACACACACACACACACACACACACACACACACACACACACACACACACACACTTTCCCTCTCCAAACCACTCAGATAATGTGTTTCTGAACTTCCCATAACAGAGCCTTCTACTAGGGATGAATAAGTTTCAATACCGGGAATAATTCATATTTATCCCAAGAGTCCTGGGAAATACAGCAAAAATCATAAGTGCCCATTTCAATTGTTTAAAACCTAGATATGGTCACTATGCAGTGGAGGCTCCTCAGAGGAAGAAGGGGAGGACTATCCTACTCAGTGAATTTCAGAAAAATACAAACAGTAAAATATTAAAAAAGTTATCCTGTTTAGATAAAACAATACTACATTTATTCACATCACCAAATAACTGATTAAAACACACTGTTTTGCAATCTACAGTAGCCTCAGCAGCACTCTGTAGGGTAGCACCATGGTGTTGCCGGACGACAGCTAGTTTCGTCCTCCTCTTGGTACATTGACTTCAATACAAAACCTAGGAGGCTCATGGTCCTCACCTCCTTCCATAGAGTAATTATGACAACTTCTGGAGGATGTCCTCCAACCTATCAGAGCTCTTGCAGCATGAACTGACATGTTGTCCACCCAATCAAAGGATCAGAGAATGAATCTAGTACTGAAAGCATAAGCTACAGCGAGCTAGCACTGCAGTGCATAAAATGTGGTGAGTAGTTGACTCAAATAGAGAGAAAGGCAATAGTTTAACAGTTTTGAACAAATTAATATATTCCAAAATTAAGGAGAAGCAGCAGAGAGAGAGATTTCATTGTATTTTTTTCACTTTAGTTTCACTTACTTAGCTTCACTTACTAATGCAGCTAGCTAATTTAGCCTACTCAAACACCTGGCTCAAACAGAGAATAATGCTATTTATGTTATCTAGCTGGCTAAGGCTATCCACTGGAACTCTTCCAAGTCAAGTAAGCTTTCGGTTTTAGTGATTTATTGCCACCGGGGCCAGCCGGTGTAACTGCTAAACTGCTTGCTGTACGCTGTACTGCGTGATTGTAATGGGTATACTAACGCGTTAGTTCTAGTAGCTATGTTGACTATGACGTGGTTACAACGATGTAGGCTGTATGTATCGTTTAGCGTTCATGGTATAAAGGTTTGGCTTGGAAAGGTTATTTGCCCCTGGTCACAGACAGCTGTTGTGTTGTGCACTGAAGTCCACAAGCGAAGGGAAAAGGTGAGAGGAGAACGCATAGATTTAATTTTTTTTTAAATGTTACCTTTATTTAACTAGGCAAGTCAGTTAAGAACAAATACTTATTTACAATGACAGCCTACATCGGCCAAACCCGGACGACGCTGGGCCAATTGTGCTATGTGAGAAATAATTATACAATGAGCAAAGTGATGATGCTGTTTGTATGTGGCTGCTATGAAAGTGAACTGTGTGTGCGGGTGATCAGGGGTGTATTCATTTAGCCGATTCTGTTGACAAACCTTTCTTAATAAATGGAAGCAAACGGAACAAAACAGCAATAAACCTACAGTGAGGGAAAAAAGTGTTTGATCCCCTGCTGATTTTGTACGTTTGCCCACTGACAAAAGACATGATCAGTCTATAATTTTAATGGTAGGTTTATTTGAACAGTGAGAGACAGAATAACAACAAAAAAATCAAGAAGGACGCATGTCAAAATATTTATAAATTGATTTGCATTTTTATGAGGGAAATAAGTATTTGACCCCCTCTCAATCAGAAAGATTTCTGGCTCCCAGGTGTCTTTCATACAGGTAACGAGCTGAGATTAGGAGCACACTCTTAAAGGGAGTGCTCCTAATCTCAGCTTGTTACCTGTATAAAAGACACCTATCCACAGAAGCAATCAATCAATCAGATTCCAAACTCTCCTCCATGGCCAAGAACAAAGAGCTCTCCAAGGATGTCAGGGACAAGATTGTAGACCTACACAAGGCTGGAATGGGCTACAAGACCATCGCCAAGCAGCTTGGTGAGAAGGTGACAACAGTTGGTGCGATTATTCACAAATGGAAGAAACACAAAAGAACTGTCAATCTCCCTCGGCCTGGGGCTCCATGCAAGATCTCACCTCGTGGAGTTGCAATGATCATGAGAACAGTGAGGAATCAGCCCAGAACTACACGGGAGGATCTTGTCAATGATCTCAAGGCAGCTGGGACCATAGTCACCAAGAAAACAGGTAACACACTACGCCGTGAAGGACTGAAATCCTGCAGCGCCCGCAAGGTCCCCCTGCTCAAGAAAGCACATATACATACCTGTCTGAAGTTTGCCAATGAACATCTGAATGATTCAGAGGAGAACTGGGTGAAAGTGTTGTGGTCAGATGAGACCAAAATGGAGCTCTTTGGCATCAACTCAACTCGCCGTGTTTGGAGGAGGAGGAATGCTGCCTATGACCCCAAGAACACCATCTCCACCGTCGAACATGGAGGTGGAAACATTATGCTTTGGGGGTGTTTTTCTGCTAAGGGGACAGGACAACGTCACCGCATCAAAGGGACGATAGACGGGGCCATGTACCGTCAAATCTTGGGTGAGAACCTCCTTCCCTCAGCCAGGGCATTTAAAATGTGTCGTGGATGGGTATTCTAGCATGACAATGACCCAAAACACACGACCAAGGCAACAAAGGAGTGGCTCATGAAGAAGCACATTAAGGTCCTGGAGTGGCCTAGCCAGTCTCCAGAACTTTAATCCCATAGAAAATCTGTGGAGGGAGCTGAAGGTTCGAGTTGCCAAACGTCAGCCTCGAAACCTTAATGACTTGGAGAAGATCTGCAAAGAGGAGTGGGACAAAATCCCTCCTGAGATGTGTACAAACCTGGTGGCCAACTACAAGAAACGTAGGGGTTTTGCAACAAGGGTTTTGCAGAGGGGTCATGTTTTGCAGAGGGGTCAAATACTTATTTCCCTCATTAAAATGCAAATCAATTTATAACATTTTTGACATGCGTTTTTCTGGATTTTTCTGTTGTTATTCTGTCTCTCACTGTTCAAATAAACCTACAATTAAAATTATAGACTGATCATTTCTTTGTCAGTGGGCAAACGTACAAAATCAGCAGGGGATCAAATACTTTTTCCCCTCACTGTACCTGAATTTGTCCAATAGAAACTCTTGTTTGAACTGTTTGGACTAATGATTGATTACACCCTAGATCAGCTATATGCAGCCAAGAGTCGCAAGGCGGTATTGAATGTGTCTGTCACCTTGATTACTCCAATTTGTAACTAGACCTGTGCACATACGTTATAAACTTTAATTCGTAGGCTAGGTAGTAGCAACCTCATGATGGATATAAGGAACATTTGAGTATCATATTCGCCTAAACCTATCAATGTTTAATCGAATGGAATGTGAATGACAGTCATCCAATATGCTGTAATAAAAAAAATGCTCATAAAATCTTAAACGCCCCCGACCGCCACTGTCACTATGCCAGGGTTCTCCCCAAATAAAAGAGGCGCTCCCCCAA